GCCTTGTATCATTGAGAGGGAAAAGTATTCACTTTTCTCTCGGATATCAAAAGGGAATAAGGTTAATAATCTCTAACGTAGACACAGATTCGTATGAGTCGCTTGCGCGGTAACGCATTCGAACTTGGTTACGTCGCTCAAAGATCGAGCTAGAGTTCTCTTCTCTACTTAATGAACGGACTCCCTGGAATCGGTTTAGCCGCAGATAGGGACGTTGTTTCCGTAAAATATCACGGTTTCTGTGATATCTCGCGTTCTTTGGACGGCCCTTGAAAAACCAAGGAAGGCCATAAACCTGTGCTACATTGCACCGATATCCGCATCAGGTCTCCAAGGTGAACAGCCTCCGGTCGATAGAATAATGTAGGTAATGGAGGTCGACAAATTAGATCCGTTACTTCGAGAAAAGGATTGGCTCCAGTGACCGGTCGGTTGGCCTCTCAACTGATGCTTGCGTGGTTCTATCCGTGGCCGGCAGATCTACGCGTTTAGTGTGCTGACGCCGGACTAATAATAAGACCACCTTGTGGACGTTTATTGGTGCGTGCTTTTTCTTCGGACTTGATATCCTGGTCGGCCATTACCTTGGTCATTCTTGAGTCAAATAATAGAAAAAAGATATCAAAGAATTTGTTTTCTGAGTATTTAGTAACCATTGACTACTTAATAAATTTATTTAGTACATTGCTTTACATACTCCGTTCACACAACGTAATGTGCATATCGCACCATTGCATTCGATTCGTTTTCTCGTATTTATCCTCCACAAAGGTCTCGAAGTGTGTGATCCCTTATTTTCTTACGCATTTCGGTAACTTTGTTGGTTCAGTTGTTACTTATCTAGAGAAACTAATAATTCAACATTCTAATCACCATAATGATCAATGATATGCAGCCATTTTCTGGGCAAAGATTGGATGCTTTCCCAGGAAAGAGTCGGTGAGGGCACCTTTGATGGTTGTACTCATTGACTTTTTCCTCCCTCAGATGCTACTTTAGCGAGGAGCGTAAGAGATGATGACATGATGGAACATGATAAAGGTTATATGGTGGATATGATTTTTTGGTTCAACCTAGTTACTCCTAAATGTGGCAGTAACCTTTGGATTGTGAGGTTGAGCGTTATTCTGGAGAAAGGGCGAGACTAAATCGTAGCATCATTGGATGCGTAACCGTCATCAAGCACTCGTGAATTAGCAACAAAACGTGGATTTCATCAAAAGGCGGTCTGGAATCGTCTCAAGCAGCTTCGCTTTGTTTATAAGAAGTCTAATCAAGATTCGCACGAAGTGGCTGAGGCTCAAGCCAACCGCAGCGTTGAAGTTTGTCATCAGATGTTGGAGAACCAGTTGAACGACGTTAATTTTGGAAAGTGCGTGACGTCGGATGAGAACTGATGGGTTTACCTGGTCACGATCACGATCGGGGCAAATGTTGGGTTCCAAAAGGTCAAACTCCGCCATCAGTTGCACGTCAAAATGCGTTGTTTGGCAAATGGTCATGATCTGCGTTTGGTGGAATTTTGAAGTTGTACTGCATTTCGAAGTTGTTCCGAATGGTCGTGCCATCAATGCCGAACTCCACTGCGAGCAACTGGACCGAGTCTACGATGCGCTGAAGGAAAAGTACCCCGTTGATTTATCGAAAACGAGTGTTTTAACAAGGCAGTGCCAAACCTCATACCGCAAAGAAGACTAAGAAAAAGTTTGATGAACTGGAGGGAGACGCGGTTTTGCCGCAACCAACCTACAGTCCAGATGCTGCACCGTCCGTCAATCGAGCATTGCCTGCGGAACGCCGATTCGAGACATTCAATTAAGTTGAAGAAGCAGGTCATGAGTTTTATTAAGTTAAAGCCCAAGGAATGACGATTTCGAGCAGGTCCGGAAGCTTGCAGATCGTCGACAGAAGATCGTGGATAATGATGGTATTCATTTTGAAGGAAATATTGTTATTTTTGATTGATTTATGTACAAACTTTGAATTTTCGGCGGGTGTTAAAAAAGTTTTTTTTCAGATTTGTACAATATGTCATCAAAACAACTATGTGACCTCATCTTTTTCAGTGATCATTGGAATTTCGCCAGAAGCAGAAGTTGCTTCCAAAACACTGGTGTTCAGTTGATTGAGGCCATTCTCCGACCACGTTCGTTTCTATGTACACTTAAAAGCTACTTTGAAACTTTTTATTTATACTTTTGCTCGCACTTTCTTTCCTACTGAGAGATGTTTAGTCTTAAGAAGATATTAGTCCATTCCAGGTTTCCTTAAATTACAAATGCATTTATACGAAAGGGAGCAAATAAATGCTGCTAACAAAATTATATTCCTCTTTCACCAAACTGAGAGCAACTCAGCACATAGCTGCAGTCATTATTCATAAACTTAAATACGCTGGTTAAGAAGAGCGGCAAATTAGCAGCAATGATTTATATCCAACTTTATTTAGATATAATGACACTCAATTACGAATGGGGAAGGCGAGCGGTTTAGATCTCGGAGTTATAGGGTGTAAAAATTCGATTCATAGATAATACCGCATGCAATATCTAAGCTAGAAAGTCAGGATAAATGAGTAAAGATACACACAAATAAGCAACTGTGATGGGAGGACGGCGAAGTGGTGGAGGTGTTGTGTTGCAGAAATTTCTTCTGCCTGATGGGGCTATCTGGACAATGTGCCTCCGGGATTTGAATGACAAAAACACTTTTGGTGGCAAGAACTATCTCAATGACGAAATGAATATATTGGTTTTGCAGGTTATTCTGCAGCAGTGCTGAGCATAACCAATTACTCTACTCGTTTACTAGGACACTAGAATGGTTGAAATTGGTTCTGAAACCTGTTTCTAGCTCTATTTACGACTCTGGAGATAATCAGTCGAAGATACCGATTTTTGATATTTAAGACTCCGAACAAATCGATGGTTAGATCCGATTTCGTTTAGGACTTCAACCACATTGTCGTCTTGTTTCTTGTGGCGCTTTTTTTTTGTAAAGATCGCTTCGATATTGCAAAATAATGTGTAACTCACATTAGCCTTTTCGTGGCGATCTATCGAGGAACGTTACACTCGTTCAAGACCTTTTCAATGGGTACGTTGGCGAACCCTGGCGACCGTATATCTTGATTTCAACGCACACGCACTTCTGTCATGCCTATTTCGACGCGCAGAGCTTTCGTGCCAGGACTTTTGTACTTAAACGATAGCTTTTGAACAGAGATATGGAATAGACGTTAGTTAGAAAAAGCTTTCAGTAGGGAAAGCATTGAAAAAAAATGAAAGGAGGCTTAGCCCACTGGCGTCCGCTCTGGAAAAGAAGAAAAGAGGCATGGCCTATTTTGGCCTACGCTGCATTTCTCTCGGTCGGAGCGCTGGTGCTTTCAATAATCGCGAAATGCGGAGTTAGGCTTTTTCGACAATAGACGAAATTTTCTCTATAGTTAGAACAATTGAGAGGTTGTGAGTGCAACAGAATAATATAGTAGATTTAGGTCTATCGCTCTACGACCATGAATACTGTGTAGCTAATATTCAGTGTAATTTAGTGCGTTCCATAACACAAATACCACTGTCAGTATTTAAAAGTGTTCTGTAACACGAAAAAAGCATAAAGCACTTGGTGTTGACCAGTTCATGAGTGATGAACCATGCATTCGACTCCATTCGCAACATCGTGGAGGTGATTGCATGCATGCCTGGCTTATGCAATGACATGAGGTGGCATACCAATGTGCCAAATCAGTGCAGTTCTCCTTCCAGCAAATCTGGCACTGCAGATCTCGCGAGAATGGAAAACTCGGTGAGCCTTGAGTGAGGCGTCGAACCACTGACTAAGTGAACATCACAGCACACCTCCGACCACTGCGTTAGATGCGCTCTTTCTACAACTTGTATTATGTTTTTATAACAATGTTTTTCTATGCTTGACTTCCATACGGTGACCATGTTTGATTATAGTATTTAGCATCGGCATAGTAGTCGATTACCACTCAAAATTTTATTTGACAATCTCGTCAGGAAAGCAAGTTCGTTTGTCTTTCTTCACGGAGATTTGTAAATGCAGGATAGAACCTATCAAGAGCTACTGCCTCAAAACATGTGTTCTACAAGGTCTATCGATTCACTAGGAAAAAAGTTTAGAAGTGGGGAAATAAATCAGCTAGAAGCAGCGTGCTTTTCTTATATTAACGAATTGTGTCTGTTCGAACGCTCTAGCAATCACAAATCTCATCTCACAGATTGAAGCGAACCAGCAATGCTCATATAGTGTTGATACTTGAGACATTCTATTGAATTCTTCATTCGATGCGCATCTCTTTCACACTTTGAAGCAGCACCTTAGTTACTTGGTACTTGGACGGCACGTCTTCCCTGATATTGTAGGCTCCAGCACACGAAAACTGTGCTGGTTTAGCTGTTTTCTTCCATGGAGCCTCGACGTAAGCCTAAGCGGGCTTCCTCAGGTCGTCACCACATTAGAGCAGTCGCCGGCCCTCGTGGATCACTGGGAGATTACTACCTCGTGAGTACTATCTGCCAAGACTGTGATCGTTGCTGGTACGGTTTACTGTTAGCTGGACTTCCCGCGTGTAAACGTCGGACTACTTTTCAGCTTGGGTGGCCCTGCTGAAGGGTTAAAGCCTCCACTGTACTTCACAATCCGACTACCAAGAAATCTCCAAGCCACGATGAGGTGATAATTCATCTGAGAGCGTTTTGTCAAAGCAGTATCTACGGGGGAAAAATTTCAAGAAATACAACAAGCTTAGAAAAGACCTCACCGGTTTCTTTAATCGCTGGCCTCATTTTTTTGTGATGAAAGCATCCAGTTTCTGCTTAACAATTGGTTTCATGTAATTAATCTTGATGGTGACTATATTTGTTGATTAATAGTTTCTTCAAATAAATGACAACTGAATTAACAGAAGTGTCAAAATGCGAAAGAAATCGTGGACCCAATATAGTCAGTGATGCTAGGTAATGTTCGGAACTTTGGACCTCAGACTAGAGTTGAACCCACGTTTCATTCACTCAAGGGGCGCGTGCTACCACTGCACCACCGAGGCCATCGCTCTGTTACCACTCTTTCTTCTATATAAGACATCACACAGATATAGCCAAGAGAAAACATACTGACTTGTTCATTTTTCTTCAAATTTTCTTTATATTTTACACGACTCTTAACCACTTGACTCTCAGAACTCGACTCGTTCCGTCGCAACCGTCCTCCATGAAAGTCCCACGTGTTGCTTCATTCGGCTACCGCTTGATTATCTCGCCTTTTTAACCGCTTTACTTCCATGGACCCGAATTGAGCGCGAGAACGACTCCACCTCCTCTGCCCCTATTAGTAGCCGACTATAGCACTAGTTTTCGTTGCAAGACCGCACGTGAATCAGCCCAAAACAGCTGCGAACCTTCCAACGAAAAATCGTACTATAGTCGGCGGCTAATAGGGGTAGAGGAGGTGGAGTCGTTTCCACGCTGGCGGGCACGCCCGCTTGGGTCCGCGGAAGCCAACTGGTTAGAAACTTCGTGAGACAGTGCTCGAGACCACTGATTTCTTCAGAAAGCCAGGAGGTAGCCGAGCTATGTGAATCGTTGATTGGGTGCAAAGAAGTGCTGGGGAAGAGAAGTGAACCAAAGCCTTCTTTTATCACTTCGCTTCCCCACGCTTACACTGCATCACTAACCACTGCGCTAGGTTGTTCACTGGCGAGTGGCTCCTTATACTCATCATTGTTTTTTGCGAAAGCATGGAACTTGCTGCAGCAGCACTCAAGTTTTGAACAGATTCTGCAAACTGCCGTCGTGCAAATGAGTGCAAAGTTGCGTCATGTGGACGTCGTTATGCAATTTGAACATTTCTGCTCTGTACTGCGCGAGATTGCTCCTCAGTTCCTCGCTCATCGGGTTGTTTACTTGTTTACAATTCGGATGGTAGACATCCTGTCTCGAGTAAATAATGACGTCATCGTGTCCGCTGTGTTCCCGTTGATCGCCGAAGAGCTCGACCAGGCCTCACTAAGCTGAAATTTTCCCCCAATAGCGTTCGTGAGAGTCACCACCCAGTGGGTTCTCCTCTCTTAGGAGGATTTCTTAAACCTCTTACTTTTTCCCTGGGCTTTTCAGGAGAAATTCGGACCATCGGGTCGATGGTCCTTTCGCTGCGACTCCATAATTATGGGAATTTCTCCATATGTCCGGTGCTTTTTGTTTACGAGGGTGTCTTCGTTTTTGGATCCTTCCTTTATCACTTTTTTTCATTCATGTCTAGGATTGCTCCTTGTCTTCAACAGAACCGACCATAAAGGGCGCTAAAATCAGTCCATTAGAGTTCGTACATTTCCTGAAAGCTCCTGTCAGTCAATCGATATGGACAGATTCGTTTCCGTATTGTAGCAGTTTTGAACGATCACCTGTATCACCTGATGTTCTGCTAGTCGTCGAGTGACTGGATCGGACACGAGTGGGCTTTCCACATCTCTCCCTATCGCGTGACAGAGTAGCCCAGTGGCTGGTCTTGCTCGCCCAGGGATTCCTCGATTATATCCCTGTTTCTGCGCTTCCCACGAGCCCAATGGGGTTGTCGTTCTCACTTAGAAGTTTCCCAAGCCTCATATCTTTCTTCCAAGCTTTTCGTGAGTCCAGTGGGTTCCTTCTCGCGTAGAGCGACCCCGAGCCTCATATCTTTGTTCCGCGCTTATCGCGGCGATTTGTGGCCTTCGGGTCAGTAGCCGTCGTGTTGTGGGGCTCCTTAACCACGTAGTTCCCACATGTTGGATTTCCTTCTCGTTTAAGAGTGTATTTCTTCGCTAATTTTCCACTCGGGTGAGGTTTATGAGCCCGCTAACCTTTCCTAATCATATGGAGTCATGTATTTCCCCCTATCGTATGTAGAAGTAGCCCAGTGGCTGGTCTTGCTCGCCCAGAGATTCCTCGATTATATCCCTGTTTCTGCGCTTCCCACGAACCCAATGGGTTGTCGTTCTCACTTAGAAGTTTCCCAAGCCTCATATCTTTCTTCCAAGCTTTTCGTGAGCCCAGTGGGTTCCTTCCCGCGTAGGGATACCTCGAGCCTCATATCTTTGTTCCGCCCTTTTCGCGGCGAATCGTTGCCCTCGGATCAGTGGCCTTCGTGTTGTGGGGCTCCATAACCACGTAGTTCCCACGTGTTGGGTTTCCTTCTCGTTCAAGAGTGTATTTGTTCTCTGATTTTCTACTCGGGTGGGGTTTATGAGCCCGCTTACCTTTCTTAATCACATGGTGTCATGTATTTCCCCCTATCGTATGTAGGAGTAGCCCAATGACTAGTCCTCTGCGCTTAAGGATTTATTGATCCTAAAAATCTTCCCTCTGGGCTTATCGTGACGAATTCGAACCCTGGTTTGTGGCCTTCGTTTGATACGTTTCCATTTTTATGTGATTTATCCTCAATGTTTAGTTCTCGTTTTCGTTTCCAAGTGCCCCTGAGTTCGTTGTTCAATTACCCGAGAATGGGGTCTTCCATTGTTACAGGAATTTATGTGTATTATAACATCTCCACTAGGGTTTTCCTTGTCTTCAAGAGAGTTAACTATAAGTTATCTTGGAATTGGTGCCATTGATATTTGGAAGCCAAGAAACCCTCGGCGCAGATTAATTCCTGAGGAATGCGCTGTGCATTTGACTCCATTCGTAGCGTCGTGTGAGGTGATGAATGCGTGTCTGGCCATTACAATAACTCGTGGTGTCCTACCGATGTATCAAGTCAAGGCTGCTCGCGTCTGGTATCCACTCATAGACCCCAAAAGGAAGGATGGCCCAGTGATCCTTGGGTACGGGATCGAACTATCGACCATCGATTGATCGACCACATAAGTGTCGCAGAGCACCTATAACCAATGCGCCACGCGCGCTTACCATTGCAATATATATCCTGATAGAGGATGTCAGTCAGTCGGTCATGGAGAAGGTTCGTTTACGTAGTGGGACGGCTTTGCACGATCACCGGGGATCGCCTGTCCTTCCGTTGGTCGTGGAAACTCTCGAGTTCGGACCACCAAACCTTTTATTTGACCCCTTCGTGCCAGGGTAGCCCTAGTCGGAGGTCCTCCTCGCGCCTTGGGGGCGCGTTAGTCAAATCATCTTTCTTTCAGACTCCTTTTCTTTCTTTCCCTTTTCTTCCTTATATTTTCTTTTTCATTTTCATTTTTTTTATTTAAGATATCCCTACAAATTATACGGTCCCAGCACGAATCCGTGAATGGACATAAATTCACCCAGTAAAGTCCAGAATGTATTCGTTCCAGAGATTTCGATTCGAGCGCTGTATTGTCTTCATCAGTGTTCGCAAACACTCGTGCCGAGTGATGCTCAAGCCTTTTTTTATTCTTTTACTACTGATTTATTCCGCTTACGCAGTACAAAGTGATATAAATGTAAGTGAACCTCCATTTTTTCTTTTGGGAGCTGTGCTCCCTTCCAGAGAGTCATCGAAGACGAACGTTTTACACTCTATGTCAAGTGAAATTTTCACCTAACACAGAGTGTTGCGCACTCGATTCTCTTTGGCTGGTACTTTTATCATGATTATACCTTTATTTCAAGTGCTTTATTGAGACCACGCTCAAATTTCAATAGATCCTTCCATGATTATTTGAGTCAACTTGTCATGTGGTCTGCTAAGGGCTCTTGTACAGTCCGATACAGTGAGCGTGGTCTTGACAAAACACTCGAAATAAAGTATAGTATGATAAAAATACCAGCCAAAGATCAGTCGAGTGCGCAAACACTCTGTGTCTGTGTTGGGTGAAAATTTCACTTGACATAGAGTGTAAAGCCTTCGTCTTCGATGACTCGCTATAAGGAGTGTAAGGCTCCCGAGAGAACTGACTATAAAAAGATCGACAGACGACGTGTTCTGCCCGACTGACGAGTCTGTAAGGACGAAACACGTGTCTCGGGCTGTACAAGAGCTCTTACCAGACCACATGACATGTTGACTCAAATAATAATGAAAGGATGATTGAAATTTGAGCGTGGTCTTAATAAAGCACTCGGAATAAGGGTATGATTCTCTATCATTTTATACTAAGACTTGCTCTAACGGGGTGTTACATTTGTTACAATACATTTTTAGGATGTAATTCCCCGTACAGGATATTCTTTTGGAACCGTTCTTGTGAGCACAATCGATGGTCAGCTAAGTGCTTTAGATACGAGAGAAACGGCGAGACTAAATGGACGCTCCAAGACGGTGCGCGAAACACCGCTCGTTATCTATCATTCAGTTTTGTCCTACTACTTTTTAGCATTGCTATGATGTTATAAATGTACGCCGAAGAGTAGTGAGTGGCATGTAAAACGTCCTACCCCTTGGCGAGAGTTGAACCCGCGTTTCACTCGTACCGGTGGCGCCTGCTACCAAAACTCCATCGCGTGCACCGCTTTGCTACCACTCGGATAAACTCAGTAGATTATATATTTCAAAGCTGCCAAGTTAGCTGGATTTGATACCGATATGTATTACCCGGTCAAACCCGTTACAGGTTGGTAGTTGACAGCTACGATATACTCATATCGCAGAAAGAGTGGTAGCAAAGCGGTGGCCGCACTGGTGTAGTGGTAGCATGCGCTCGAGGTCTGGGTGAGGACGCGAGTTCACTCCTACCTGGGGTCCGATGTTTTGCATATCACTCAATAGGATGTTGTAAGTATACATCTAAGGAATATTGAGTGATATGCAAAATGCGCATGTGGCGCAGTGGTTAGAGGTGCTCTGCGTCGCACGCGAGATCAATGGTCCTATCTCGGACTCATGGCTCACCAAGCCGTCCATCTCTCCGGGGTCGGTAATTTGGTACCAGATTGGTCTCAGACTTGTTTGGGAGGATAAGCAGCATGACCTCGGTTCAGCGGTAGGCCACCGCGAGTCATTGTAAAGGCCAGGTATGCATTCAATCACTTCAAACGAAGTTGGAAATTGAAGACGAATGCATGGCGCATCTCTCAGGGATTGATCAACGCCGAGAGCTTTATCCTTTTATCCTTTATGCAAAATACTCGGTCACAGGTGGGAGTCGAA